AGCACTTGAATGTGTCTGCAAGTGGTTTTTCCTTTTTTGCTTTATTGAGCCAATATAAAGCTGATCCGTCTGGACCACTCTTGCTTTGGACAATAAAATCATCAAAGTGCCTTAATTCCTAACCACTGCTGTTATTGTCTTAAAACATAGACTTTTATGTTACCCCTAATATCAAATTTCCCTAATAAAATGTTGATGACAGAGTCAACTAATCTTGTTTATCAATTTCCTCCATTTGTAATTAGTTCAAGATAAATTTGGATTTTGGGTGCCTAGCTCCAATCCCACCTAGTTGAATAATTGATTATCATTGCCTGGAGTCCACCTTCATGCCAATTCCACCTTGTTGAATAGTTGATTATCTCAATACTCTTCTTCACCTTCTCACCAGAAACAAATAAGAAAAGCAAAGAAGTAGTAATTTTCAGGAAAGAAATACTTTGCTAGCTCTGCAGTTAGTGAGCTTTGTTTCTCTCTTAGAATTTGAGAGTGAAACTGACGAAAATCCCTCCATAAGAGATGGAGATGGCCTCCACTTGCAGCATCGATCGTGTCTTGCTTGTTCTAGAGTTGCTTCTGAACAGCTTACGAGACCCGTACGTTCCTTTCGATGTTACTTTCGATGCAATCAAACACATGAAATTTCTCAAAACATTTGTTATGTGTGCAAGAAAGTGGAGCCTTGTTCATTTGTACTTGCAATCTGACAATGTTGTGAAGAAGGTGAGTCTTCCATCTTTCTTATCTTGTATCGAAGATACCTTTCACAAATATGAGGAGGATATTCACTCTCTTTCCCTTAGATCAGAAATTGAGAACTATACTATTGGTAGTTATAATAGCATGTTCAGGGAACTTGAGAAACAGATCAAATCACTGAAGCAAGAAATCATCCAAATTTACTTTGCTTTGGCAAGCAGCAGGTCATTTCAATCAAATTCTTGTATGACAGATGATGAACTGTTGGAATTCATAGACCTCATCCTACAAAATCTAGCAGATTTGAAGCCCTTGAAGTTGGATTGGGCACTTGGTGAATCGTCTATTTCTGCTACTTTGAGTGCTCAAGTCCAAGCCCTTGAAGCAAAGCTGACATTCTTGAAAAGCTTCATTCCCTTTGCCAAAATGCGAGGAACTGCAGATATTCCTGCTTTGCTATTGGCGCACTTTGAAGTGGTGGCTTTGAACGCAGCAGGCCTCTCTTGCATGTGTTCTTATTGCGATGATGCTGAGGAAATGCAGATATATGAACAACAACAGAAGATCAGAGCTGTTGATTTTCATGTCTACGAGACTTATATGGAAGTACTTAGAGCTTTATACTGCTCAGCATCGTTACATACACCAAGGATGCAGGATAAGCAGATACTGAGCAACTTCAATGATTCTCTTATAAGTTGTCTCTGGGAGCTGTTATGCTACAGTTCAAGTTTTATGGATTCTATGAATGATGAAATGCACATACTCTATGCACGACTGAGATTCTTGAGAAGGATTTTAAGGGAGCATCATGAGATGATGGATGAACAAAATGAAAAAATTGGAGCTCTCCTTAGTGAGGTAGGGATTATACTATTCTCGCCCACTCTGAGCAGAGTGATAGAAGGAGAAGTTAGCTTCTCAGAATCCACCCAGGTTCTTGATTTTTGTGATATGCTGGCCAATACCAACATCCATATCAAGCATTTTAAGGATCAGATCAGTGGCTCAAGTACTATAGAGAGTCTTCCTGATTCCTCTCATAGCTTAAGAGCACCAGAAGTTAGCCAGACTTCCAGCCGCATGCTATCAAAATGTAAAATGCCAATAGCCCATGAAGTCATGGTTGGTCTTGATGATGAGGCAGCAAAAGTAATTGAACGACTTATGTGGGGACCAGAACAGGTGGAAATTGTTCCCATTGTGGGAATGGCTGGGCTTGGTAAGACGACTTTAGCCAAAAAAGTTTACAATGATAGTTCAGTAATCTGTAACTTCCACATTCGTCTTTGGTGCACTGTTTCTCAAGAATTTAACATGAAAAGCTTGTTAATACAAATTTTGTGCCCTGATGCCAAACATTCCAGGGTGGATGATGAGTTTCAAAATCTGGATGAACATGCATTGCTTGAAATGCTCCGCAAAAAGCTAATGAAGAATCGTTATCTAGTTGTTTTTGATGATGTCTGGGACATTGGGGCATGGAATGAGCTGGGAATTGCATTCCCGAATGACAAGAATGGAAGTAGAATCATCTTCACGAGTCGATCTTCTAATGTAGCTTCACAGGTTCAATATGGTGGAGAACCTCACTATCTTCGCCCACTCAGTGAGAAAGAAAGTTTTGAATTACTTCAGAAGAAGGTATTTGGAAAAGAAGATTGTCCTCAAGCATTGCATGGATTGGGAATGGAGATTGCCAAAAAGTGCAGGGGATTGCCACTTGCACTTGTTGTTGTAGCTGGAGTCCTAGCAACTATAGAGCATGATATTTGTGTTTGGGAAGAATTTGCTGAAAGTTTAACTTCGACCATGGTGTCTGGTACAGACCAGTGCAAGAAGTCATTGGAGCTCAGTTATGAGCATTTACCATATCACTTGAAGGCATGCTTGCTGTATTTTGCTGCATTTCGAGAAGATGAAAAAATTGGTGCCAAGAATTTGATGCGTCTATGGATTGCAGAAGGCTTTGTGGAAAAAGTTGAAGGAAAGAGGTCAGAGGACACTGCAGAAGAATATCTGATGGACCTAATTGGTCGAAATTTAGTTATGGCAAGTGAAAGCAGGTCCATTGGTGGAGTCAAAACTTGTTACATTCACGATTTGATATTTGAGTTCTGTAAGACAGAGGCAAAGGCAAAGAATTTTCTTCAGGTCCTGCGAGGATATGATGAGCTTTCTACCTTTAATGTACCTCCCTACCTACATCGATTGTCCATTTGCTCCAGTGGAGAAGATTTTATAAAGTCAAAGCTATTTTGTCCACATTTAGGTACTCTGCTATTCTTTGATGCTACTCCAGGAGATGAGTTTGAGTTGCGAGACATCTCATTCCATTTTTGCATCTACAAACATCTTGAAGTTTTGAATTTAGAGGACATTAACCTGAGGCTGAAGGAGCTTCCAACTGAAGTCGAATCACTTCTTTGTTTGAGGTACTTAGCCCTTAAAGGTCGGACCATGGAATTCATTCCACCATCTATAGCCAAGCTCTCACATTTGGAAACCTTCATTCTAAATTCTTGCATGACGGTTTCATTGCCAGATAGCATCTGGAACATGAAGAATTTGAGGCATGTATATGTAAGGGGTGACGTTGCTATTGGTCTTTCTTCCAATGACAATAATGTTGTTGAAAACCTCTCCAATTTAGACACACTCTCTACTCTGTGTATTTATTTTGATCAAGGGGGAGAGAACATATTGAGAAGGATTCCCAACGTTCGCCGACTTAAAATTTTCTGTTTGGCACTAAATGCACTAAATAGAGCATGCCGCAACATGAGTCAGCTAGAATGCCTAGAATCACTCACCTTGGGGAGCTTCAACTTCTCAGGTTCACGAGAACATGTCGAGCTTTCTTTTCCCATGAATTTGAAAAAGTTGTGTCTTTCCTTCCTGGGCCTTCCCTGTAGGAAAATGTCATTGATTGAACAACTACCCAATCTTGAAGTCCTCAAATTAAGAGTCCAGTCAATGAAGGGCCAAAAATGGGAGCTGATGGAAGGAGGATTCCCTAAACTCAGGGTCTTGACTTTGTCTGAATTAGACTTTGTGGAGTGGACAGAGACAGACCCTCACAGTGATGATTACTTCCCGTGCCTTCAGCAATTAAAACTCCTCAAAAATTCTAATTTGGAAATGGTGCCTGCTTGTTTAGGGCGTATATCTACTCTTGAAACAATTAAGGTCAGATTTTGCAGAGATGGTGTCGACTCTTTAATACGGAAAATTGAAGAAGCACAGAAAAATTATGGAAATGAGAATCTGAAGGTCATCATCATAGGTTGAAGGGCATCAAGCTGGTTGCAATATCTGGTAATTTTTTTTTGTCGTTACCATTAATTGGCTTGTAGAAATAAACATGCTTTTTTCATTTAAGGAAGTTTAATTTATATGTACCTTTCGGTGGCTTTTTTGTACTTCAGTTGCCTATACTGCATGCATGAGCACATTGAAATTGATGAACAAACAAATAATTCTTGCTTTTTTTTTTCTCTTTTAATGATATTGATGAGCAAACAACTAATCATTGCTCTATTTTTTCTTAATGATATCATCAGGGAGTTTTTCCTTTTGAGATTGTAGTTGGTCATCTGTGCGGTCTGGCTTTCTTTGGTGCATTTGTGGAAGATGGAGGTAAAAGTTGGAAAGGATGGAAACAATGAATGAGGTTCGTACACTGTGCAGCATAAAGGTTATTCGGATATTTTGCTGTTGGTATATTTTGTGTAATTTCGTTTTGGTGAATTTAGTGATGGTTGTGTGGTATTTCTTTTCAAACATGTGTCTATTTGCTGAATTGGGACTTGGAAAATAGGGACAATGTACGAAGGTACTACCGCAAAATGATTGGTTTTTTGCCATCAAGAAACTCGGTTTGCCCTCAGGGCATATGACGCAGTGGTTGAGGGGTCGGCCTTGTGTTGCTGGCTTTCCCACTGACCAGGGTTCGATTCGTGCCCGTTGCATCGCATATCCTGACTCGCCCGGGTAACCTGTATGGGGCTGTCGGCTTCCCTCCGATTTGGTATGCCGGCTTGGATCCAAAGAGCTCGGGTCGGGGCATGTTTCGGGTTACAAAAAAAAAAAAAAAAAAAGAAACTCGGTTATCTTTTTTCTTTTCCTTTTTTTTTTTCTATTTGAGGTTGAAAATCCATCATTTTGACAGAATTGATTAACAATTTATGTCTGAGCTCATGATTCTTGGGAGAATAACACAGCGCAATTTGGAAATTAACAGCAGACTTTTGATCTACAAATTCATGTCAAAAGGAAACCTCAATGATCTTCTCTTTTCTGCTCAATCCTAATTTTGAGGTTTGTGGTAAAAATTGCAATTGGATTGCAAAAGGCATTACGTGGCTTCATCAGGATAGAGTAGTACTTCATCGTAGAATTGGTTGACCAGAAATTGGCCTATTAGATCGCTTGAAGACTTTTAATGTTTCCAACAATCTTGTATCTGGCCCAGTCCCTAATTTTATTAGCGCAACTATACTTTCTGAAAGCTGTGCAAATAATTTGGGACTTTGTGATGATCCTTTAGAGCCTTGTAAGTCTAATTCAGAAACAAAGAAACATGACAAAATCCTCTTCACAAGTGGTTTTGTGGTTGGATGGGTGCTTTCTACCATCTTGGCTCTAGTTCTTAACTTGTTTATTGTGCCTATCCTGAGTGCAAGAAAACTAAAGAGCAAGAATGCGAAAAAAACAAGAGACTGCAGCTTCTCAAGGACCACGACTTTTAACTTCGAATTGGAGAATCCAAGACTCTAAGGTAACTTCATTCCCTATAACCAAATTGAGTACATAAGCTTGTGGAAAGATCCGTACTATTTCCAATTCTACCGCACTCCTTGTTCCAAGAAATAAAATATTCTTTGATCAAGAAAGAAGATTCCTTTTTTTGTTTTGTGGGTAAAACTTAAAAGGTTTGATCAATTAATTCATTCAAGTTTTAGTATAAACTTGCTAGCACACAGTTTTGTTTTACTATAGACAGACAATGAACGTTAAGTTACACGGGCGTATATATGAATTAAATTGAACATCCTATAACTAGTTTTGTTTTCCTTTTTTGGTTATGATTAAGCAGCTAACTGTTTTCTTTCTTTTACCACTTCATGAGTGCTCTCCATTTTTCAGATCATATTTACAACCAAAATTTTTTTGGCATAAGTGAAGCTCCTTAAGGAGTATATATTTTGCAGTAATACTTTTGCTCTAATGATAGATTATGGCACTGGAAAAACATGTACCAAGAATGAGTTTCGAAGAACTCAGCAAGGCAACTGATGGGTTCCAGTGTATGAATATAATTGGAACGGGGAAATTGGGGACAATGTACAAGGCAATACTCCAAAATGGTTGGTTTCATGCTTTCAAGAAACTCCATAACTCATATGATTTCGATCAAGAATTTATGTCTGAGCTCATGACTGTTGGGAGGATGAGACATTGCAATTTCGTACCACTCATAGGCTTCTGCTATGAAATTAACAGCAGACTTTTAGTCTATAAATACATGTCGAATGGAAACCTCCATGATCTCCTCTTTTCTGCCCAAAACGGCAAGGTCAAGTGCATAGAATGGCCTATGAGTGTGAAAATAGCAGTTGGGATTGCGAGAGGACTTGCATGGCTTCATCAGGTTGGAGTAGTCCATAGCAGCATTTGTTCAAGATGCATACTGCTTGATCATAGTTGTGAACCCAAGATATCCAACTTTGGAAGTGCAAAACTTATGCCAAAAAATTGGACTACAAGGAGGAAGAGAAATTCTGGAGTTAACTACAGAAATTCTGGAGATGGAGTGGTAGACCAACAAGGAGACTTCAAACGTTGGTGGACTCAAATCTCAGAGGCAAGGAAGAGGCCAAGGGGGATGGAGCATATTGGACTAACTGCGACCATCTTATGGCAAGTGTGGAAAGAAAGGAATAAGAAGGAATTTGAAAACATAAGCAGCTGCTCACCAGCTAGGACAATTGGGAAAGCTCAAAAGGAATGGCTGGAGCAAGTGGAAATCATAAACATTAAACCCAGTCTGAGCACAGGAGAAACAACTTCCAACCAAGAAGAGCATCATCAGGATCATGCAGAAGAGGGTACCATTAATCTGGACGTGGCTACAATAAGTCATTATGGCCAGGTCTCACTGGGGATTGGAGTTACAGCTAGGATGCACCCAAACATCAGGATTGCGGAATGGGCGCTTATAGAGAGAAGCCTGGGGGATAAAGTCATAAATGAAGCAGTGGCCATCAAGCTGGTTTTGTGCAAAGCTCTAGAGCTGAATTGGAGTGGGATCACGATTCACTCCCATAACCAGGAACTTTTGAGACAGATAAAGTACAAGAGGCCGTCCAACAGCAGCTTAGCTACCTTGATAGATGACATACTAAACATGCAGAAGATGTTTCGCATGTGCCTTGTTTTGCTTGGTTAATGAACAAAGTATAGAAAGAAGTAAAAAATTAAGTTCTCATGCCTTAGGCATTCTTGTGGATAAGGAAAGGAATTTCCTCGGTGCTACTGAGCATTGGATGTACAGTCTCTTCGAGCCTTTGCTCGCACTTGTAATTTTCTCGTTACAATGAATGAAATGATCCTAACGTTTCGAAAAAAACATAGAGTTAACCAGACTAATGACAGAGAATGTGATGGGTACTGAGATGAGACAGTCAAGTGATTTGTGCAATAATGTCATCAACAACGTTGTCACGTAAAAAGGTTGCGCATATTTCTACCTTGCAAGCCTTATTTTTCTTCATTTCTTTAAGCTTTATGAACACGTTATAGACTTTGAAATCCGTGTGTAAAGTAATTTGAAGGACTTGTTCAAACTAGATTAACGGGCATCCATACTTCTCGTGGCATCAAGATACATTGAAATTAAATTGGAAGTACAATAATTACTATCTATCTATACGAAAGCATGCTATGTGGGGATTGGGATAGTTACGTTAACTTGCATCTTCCTTTCATACAGTGGAAATGCTAGTGAAATATGCAATTAATGTTGCCATGAATACATAAGAATGAGGCTATAAATCTTATTTTGGACCCTTACACTATAAACACATTCCTATTTTGGTCCTTAAATTTAAATTTTATATACTTTACTTCCTTTAAGTATGAAATTTATCCACTTTAATTCATAAACTTCATTTTTAGACACTGTATCCCCTCAAATATCAACTCCTTTCCATAGAATTGTCAAAACTAATGAAAAAGTAGGTAAGTGATGCTCAAAATTCTAGAACTAAAATGAAAAGTAGTCTGCATTTTAGGGGGGGGGGGGGAACTATCCAGAAATAAAGTTTAAGGAATAAAGTGGGATGAATTTTATACTTTAAAGCGTGAAGTGTCAAAAAATGAAGTTTAAGGTATAATAAGAAATGACATCTAAAGTTCAACGGATCAAAACAAAATTTTACCTAAGAATTGCCTCACAATGTATAAAAGTATTGGCTATATACAAAACTTAGGCCTGTTTTCTTACACCGATCAAATATTTTCCGTTACTTCCGGTGTTTGGTTAGAAATAATTCATGAGTTTAAGATTGAATTATATTGTTCCTCCATCTGGAGAAACATGCATCAACACATGTATAATAGTATGACCATATTCTTTTATGTAAATAATGCCCAAATAGATGTCAAACTTTAAATGTACGTATTACTCGTTAAATTAAACCAGTATTAAAGAGCTTGAAAAGAGACCATTCTATGGCCGACTTGACCGGAACAAATGGACCCTCGTTGAATGTGGAAGAAAGATTAATTATTAGACATTTCAATAGCCCAAGTAAGACTATAAGGGCATAGACTTTGTCAGTCATGACACTTGAAAAAGTACTATTATTAATTAGGAGACTTCTCTCTGTTTCTCTAATCCCGGGCTTTTCTGCAAAAATTGAGATTCCGTTTGATAAAATTGAATCTGAATTCTGAAGTCTGAATTCTGAAATCTGAATACTGAAACAATTAATTTGCTGAATTTTAAATACTGAAAAAAATATATAAATGTCTGAATTTTAATGCTAAACCTATTTATACTGTTTGATAAATATTTATAACTGAATGCTTAATAAGTTTAATTTGACAATTTTGCCCTTATATCCTTTCATTCAAAAAAGAAATAGAATTTATGATTTAATTAGTTTAAAATTGTTAGGTATGAAAATGACAATATTTATTTTTAAATCAAATTAATATAAAAGATGAAATATATTACATGAGGAGTATGGAGAAGATGTGAAAGTCATTAAAAAAAGGATAAAAGAGAAACTAAAAATCGTTAGATAGAGAATATTATGTTATTTAATCAGATAAGAATTTTGAACATAATTAACAAATAATGGTAGATTTGGTAGATAAGATAAGGTAGTTGAAGTAATTCTATTGATTCTTATCAGAATTAAGCATTCAGTTAGGATTCTTGTGCTGAAAAAAATACACACAGGTTCAGCACTGCTTAACAAGATCAGCAAATAGATTTTCATTTATCAAACACTCAAAACATCTGAATGTCTGAAAAAATTCAGATTCAGCACTTTTTTATGTTATCAAACAGACCCTGAATATCATTCTCCTTATTTGCAAGAGTAACTGGATGACACTAGTTAAATTTGTTTCTTTTTTGTAGGACTGCAGGTTGGGGTTCTATGCAATTGGCACATGAATGATTAAAAAAAAACTGATGGTTAGAATAAGTTTAATTTGAGGATGAACAATATTATTGTGGGACAACTTTCGACCGATAACAAAATTTGTTGCGTTTTATCATGTTAGTATCTTTGTACCTATATTTTTGTATGGTGCTTACATTGCAGAAGCCAATTATCCATCTAATTAGACTACTTCAACGGTTGAAGCCCTGATTCTATTTTCTTTTTCGCGTGCGTTTACTTTAACACTCATGGTCATTAACGTTGGAGAATAATAGTCATGATTATTAACCTCGTTGGTCAAATTTTGGTGGTTTGGGACTTCAATGTGAATAAGAAAGAAAACAACTGAAGAAAATTGGAGAGCCAACCTAAACATGTTCTTGCTGAAGAAAAAAAAAATCCAAAACTAACCAACTAAACATGAATGCTAAGAGTACTGCCCAACGGAGAACCAGAGAAGAGATTTTAGTGTTTTTTTTTGCTCAAAATTAATTTGTTTTCTCTCTAAATTTCAAAGAAAACACAAACGGAAAACCTATGACTGATGCTTTTTCTTCTATTTCTTTCTATTGTTACTTATTATTATTATTTTTCCCTTTTGTTCTTTCTGCTTATCTCGGTAACTAGATACCAGAAAACTTCGATAACCAAGCCAACATGCAAATATTGCTTTCGATTTTTATGAGCTGAAAGTTTTATAGGCCCTATTTGATAGCTCAATTCAACACCTAAAGTTAATCGGTTTAGACCTTAACGTGTTCATATATGTTTGATAAAAAAAAAATAGAACATGTGAATTAATTAAGTGGTACTGAATTTTTGGTAAAATTTGTTTCAAAAAATAAGTGATAAATTATTTACTTTATCACTCAATGTGATATATATACTTAAATGTGTCAAATTTAGTATTTAACAATTGAGTCACTTAAAGAATTCAAACTTCATATTTCCCAATATGACCCTCCTCAACTACACAATGAGTATGAATGAGTCCAAATCAACAAAATTACTTTAAAATGTTGGCTAAATCTAACATGAACCAACCAAAATGAAGAAAACAAACAAATTTTCTCGGCTCACTTTAGAACGAAATTTAGTTGAATTGAACTAGCATAATGTTCTAACAACATGTAGCTGAAATATCACGGTATAAGAACCCGGAACAAACCCCTTTCTCAACAATAAGAAAACAAATAAATGTAAGGAAACTAGCATGCAAAGTTACCAACAAGATAGGATAACCAATCCAGCTTTACTCGAATTGGCCAAGGAGGACTTCACAAAGTCTCTCTCTCTCGTGCATCAAGTTGAGGGTCCAAACCTCGCTGGGTGCATATACAAGTAAACTTGGCTCCCATTCTCTTAGAAATCTAAAGGGCGCGGTACTATACTATCCACCACCAACCCCTTCACACAACTCACTTGGGCACTCTCCTTCCCACAGCATAGAAGTAGGGTAAGATAAATCTCGATGCTTAACCCGAAAAAAAATATATGAAAACAAGAAAGAGTCTTGAAGGTATCCTAAGGGCATTTACAATGGATTACACTCTAATCCACTCTTTAGAGTGTAATTTATATGCTATATCATCACTTTATTATCTCCTTTTTCATTATATTATCACTCACTGTAGATTACACTCTACACAGTATAATAGCATGGACCTATAATCAAATCACATAGTTATTTTAATAGTTCTCAACACATATCTCGTAAATAAATAAATCTATTTTTAGAAAAGTAATTTCATTTATTTTTGAAAAAAAATTATTAATTTTTTGTTGAAATTGTTGCATTCTAAAAATTTTTTATTTTATAAAAAATAATATTGTTAATTTTTCAAAACTAATAGTATATATTTTTATGGATTTCAAAAAAATACATTGTTATTTTCTAAAAATAATTAGGTAATTATTAAACAAATACCCAACACTTTAAAAAATTAGATAAGAGGTTAAAGAGAACAAATGATTCAGTAGGAGAAATGATGGAGTGGGAGAGTAAGAAATTGAGAAAATGTTAACAATATTTATAGACAAAATTTTGAGAATTGAAAGTGAAAAAAAAAATTACTATTGCAAACTGGTGAAATTGAAACAATGCTACCATTATTTTACCATTGCAAACATGTTGAAAATTGGATTGAAGGGACCACTACAAAAGTTTTGAATAATTCGATAAAATGAAACTTTTGCAAAGCTTTGAATAATTGGACAAATGAGACCCACTCTTTCAGCTTTTTTTTGCTTCAATTATGCATGTAGTGACTGTTATGCGTGTAATAGGCATTATATTCTTACTATGGGAGAGTTTACAATGCATGGGTCACTCATGCATTACGAACTTCAACAATTTCCATATTGGTTTCAAATTTTCAAAACTTGTAGCTTTCTAAAGAGAATCATCCAACTTCCTCTTTACAACCCCACAATCATTATTTAAAAAGGATGCTTGCAACTCAGCTCGATTGACATCTGATTGAGAGGAGTTAGTAGCGCACCCACGAACACATCACCAAGGCTTTACATTCCTCAGGTAATTCTAAATTTTTTTTTTGTTTAACATTACCTAACTCATGAACTTCCCTTGCCCAACTTGGTCGGCAAATCTACTTGCTCCCACTTTGAATTCCTGAATACGTGTGATAATTATCGTGTTTGTGGGACAAAAATCCTCAAACCGGTCTTTGTCCGTATCTCTGAGTTGCTGAAGATTGCATGCTTTCTTCACGTCCTTTTGCTGCTAGTCAAATTAGCTCAATGCATATGTGACACATATAAATGTATTAAAGCACATGCCAATTCCCACTTCACTGAATGTGTCAATCCAACAAATTCATGTAGCATAGTCATGTGACTTTGTAGCAACTAGAAATCCAGAAAGACTTCAATGATTAACATGCCCTCTTCGCATGACGAAATCGGTGAATTTTGCTTGACTTGGATTTAATTGATCCATTTTGTTGACCATTTGCATTGTCTTCACCACAGTGATTAAGTAATACTACACTTGACATTAGAGACGAATATAGCCCACCAGAAAAGCTTTTCCCACCAATGCATGCGACACGTCACTTTTTTCTTTTTGTTCTTGAATTTTCTCTTTTACAAAACAGCGATCACCCAAAAAGAAAAAAAGAAAAAAATATTTCTTTTCTTGGATTGCACCTTGTGTTGGCATCTGTTATTCAAGGCAAATTGATACTCTTTCCCTCTTTTTTGTTTTTATTGTTTGCAAACAAAGCTACATGTTCGACTCATCGTGCCCGTGATTCTACAATCGAGGATTTATCACTCGGAATACTTAGGTAATTCACCTATTCCATGGCTTTTACTTCTTGTCAATGCCAGTGACTCCTTTTTTCTTTTTCTTTTTTTTTTTTTTTGTGTAACAACAAAGGAAGATTACTCGTCTCAACAAACATGGTGGATACTTAATTTGAAGAAGGTGCAACTGCAAACTTCCACGAGAGTCTTGTTATGGCTTGAGGAGTACAATGAAGAAGGTGCAACCGAAAACTCCCATGATAGTTTTATCATGGCATGAGGAGTAAAATGAATAAGGTGCCACCAAGAAGTTAAAGAAGGTGCAACTGCAAATTCCCACGAGAGCCTTATCATGGCTTGAGAAGTACAATGAAGAAGGTGCAATCAAGAAGTTAAAGAAAGTGCAACCGCAAACTCCCATACAAATCTTGTCATGGCTTGAGGAGTACAATGAAAAAAGTGCAACCAACCACTTCAATGAGAACTTACCAAAACTCGAGAAATCTATTGAAAAAGACGCAACTACCCACTTCAATGAGGGCTTATCAAAACTTGAGAAGTCTGTTCACCTATCTTTAATGATGATGGCAATGAAGAAGACTCCAAGTTGGAGGTACGGCAAACTCATCAACACTTATGGTTGAATGATAGACTCTTTCAAGATCAGATGTCGATGAGTAGTTCTACTAAGATGAAGATGTGACAAACCTGTCCAAGACTACGGTGATGGAGGGAAGTTCTACCCAGTTGGAAGAATGGTGCAAACTTTACATTCCTGTCAATGGGGAAATACTTCACCAAGATAGAGACATGATGGTTCCATCCAAAACCATGACGATGGAAAGAAACTCAAACAGGATGGAAGCATAATGAACCTATCCAAATTCTTGTAAAAGCAACAACGTTTTTTTCAAGAAACAAAAGCAATCCAATCAATGGTCCACCACTCTGAAGTGAATGCCAATGAGCAAGGAGAGAATTTTTTCTTTTAGGGTTGTGACTGGATTTAGAAGTTACCCCCTAAGTTGCCTACGTATCCGAAAAGAGAATCAAGTCACACGTAGTTCCTACCATTCCCAGTTTAAATTCATGCTGGTCAGGAGCAACATGCAATTTAAACTCTTGCTTCATGGAGTAGTTGGAACAACTTTTGATTTGAAGACATTTTTTTTTTTTACTCGTGTTAAGGAGATTTGATATAATTTGCAACATGGAGCAGTTTATACTCTTGTCGAGGAGGTTTCGAGTAACTTCAGATTTGAAAACAATTTATACTCATGTCAGGAAACATGTACAATTTAGAGATATTTTATACTCATGTCTAGGAGATCTGCAACTTGGAGACAATTTATACTAGTCCCAAGGAGATTTGTAACTTAGAGATAGTTTAGACTTGTATCAGGGACCACATACAACAGACTGTTTATGCTTTATCAAGGAGATCTCCAATTTGAAAACAGTTTAGAATCGTATCAAGGAGATTTGGAGAGACTTATGATTTGGAAACAGTTTAAACTCGTGTCAAGGAGGTTTGAAGAGATTTACAATTTGGAGACAATTTATACTTGTATCAAGGAGAATACTTTAACTTGGAGCAATTTAAATTTGAAGATGGTTTATACTTGTGTCAAAGAGATTTGCAAACAGTTTATACTCGTACAAAGAAGCACTTCAACTTAGAGACAGTTTAGACTCGTGTCAAGGAGGTTGGAAGCAATCTCATACTTGAAAATAATTTATCCTTATGTCTAGGAGATTTACAGACAATTTAGACTCTTATCAAGAAGTGCTTGACATGTTTTTAGTTTGACAACTAATTTGTTTGACACACAAAATTAATATGATTGGCACTTGCACTTTCATTTTCGAGTATAATTTGTCCCTGTTAAGCCAATTTCATGACTTTATCTTTGAAGGCAAAACAAATTTTTGTAGGATGACTAGCCAAGCAACGATACCTAGTAATTTGGATTATCGACTTGCTTAAACTCTTCAGGGTGCCTTGACCTTGGTAACTCAATAAGTTCCGCTTGTAAGAGATCATGAAGTATTTTTGGGACATCAGAGTTACTAAATGGATACCGTTTTTTGTGCATATCTTTAAAGGTTTCTCTTTTGCCCCCACTTTCTTGTAAATAACTGGATTTTCGAGTCACTTTTGTTCTTTTCTTTGAAGAGGCTTTGACTTGTGTAATACTTGTCATCATGGATTCTTCAAAATTTGTAGAAGTCTTGCCCCCATGTTTTGATTGTGACTTCACCATGGCTTTGTGAGGATCAGCAACAAATGCTCTTGTCCTTCAAGGTTAATCACCATCTTGTGAGCTTTTGTTGATAACTTATCAAAAGTCTCAAGTTGTATCCCTTGTAAAATGTAACTGAGTCTTCAATGCATACCTTGGATATACATCTCGATCGTGGATGATTGAGAGATTCAATCTTTGCAATTTAGATTTAGAGTCCTCCAACGCTCAATGAAATCGACAATTAGTTCATCCTTCCATTGGCATGCATTCGAGAGTTCATTCATGCTAACAATCAGGCTCGTACTATAAAAGCGATTCAAAAATTCTTATTCTAACTACTTCCAACTATCGATGGAACTAGGTTCAAGATCAGTGTACCAATTAAAGCATTACCCTTTAATGAACGAATGAATTGCTTGACAAGCAAATTGCCATCAGTGCTTGCATTATTACACGTCTATACAAAGTGTGCAATGTGTTGCTTAGGATTGCCTTGCCATCAAATTGTTGGAACTTTGGAGATTGGTAACCATCAAGCATTTTTAGACCATAAACTCTTGCAGTGTATGGTTTGGCATAAGTGTTAAATATCTTAGTGGCCCCAACAACTTTTTCTCTGATTGTGCCTTCAATGAACTCCTTAAGAGTGTTAACATGAACTGTGCCATCAGGAGAGACTGAAATTTCCTTCATCAAGTGGGACTTTGAAACATCCTTTTTCTCAACTTTTGAAGATATTTCAGCCTCATCATTCATCTTGAATTGCTACTTAGGCGTGTTTGAACCATTCTTACTTATGCGCTCCAACATGTCCATTAACTTGGCAATCCTAACATCTTGGTTTTGCACATGAATTGCTAGCCCTTCAACAATTTTGGTCAAATTAGAAATTTGGTTTTCAACAGTTGTAGTGCTCGTCATCATCATAGGCATCACCACAAAACTAGTTGAGTCATCGAAATTTGAGTCATGGTCATCCTCGTCACTAGGTAATACTTCAAGATTCTCCTCTTGGATGGCAGCAACAACTTTTTTAGTTTTTTGTGCAAAGGCCTTTGTCTTGGTCATTGTCATGGGACCAACGTCTTATGCCTCTTTATTTCTAGAAGTAAAAAATATTGAATCTTCAAGGCCGATAACTATCTTCTTTGAATCCATTAGTCATGTCTTAAAATAAGAACTCGTAGGAAGAGAAGAGATGAGAGGTAGAGATTGTTCCACCGGTCGTGTTAGAAATTTGTAAACACAAATTTCATTGCCTAAAATAAGAGACAAGAACATTTGTAGAAAAGATCAAATATATTAAATCAAATAATAAGAGAGTTGCAATTTCTGAAAATTCTAAAATCAAAGAAATTAATCCCCTGAGTCTTCCCTTCAAATGACTTCAATTGAAGGGTCGAAAGACTTGTTCTCCGACCAAGTAGGTGTTTCCTATGATTTAGGCGTAGAAAACGGATGATATGATTATGATGTTAAATACTTGAATTTTTAAGTTTTTAACACGAATAAAAGGAGGATTTATTTAACTTGATTATGATTTACATTTGAGGGAAAAAGCTCTTGAGAATTTGACAAAGTTTTTTCAAAATTTAGGGATTTCATTGTGTCCTGATTTGAGAGATGACCTCGATTTATAACCAAAACATATAGGTTGTGTCTTCAAGAAAACCCTTCAAATCTTTCTGCATTTTGGATAACTTGCAATTCAAGAACCCCATTTAATTGGGCTTAAATAGTGGGCCGACCCAAATAGTCCCTGGTAAATTAATAAATCAATTAATCTACTTTAGTTTAAGTGAGTCACAAATTTAATTTAGTTTAATTTAATAGCCCATATAATATTGGTTCAATTTGTCAATCCAAAACATAATGAACTTCTATGATTTAATTTAATTTAATCAAGATCAATTTAATTTATTTAATCTTGATTAAATAAAATTTCTTTGTCTACAATGTTGTGTGCTAAATTAGGAAAACATATACAAGTTGCTCTTAGGGGTTACCAGTGAACCACGAATACCACTCTTTCAACATCGATTCTGGTAACTAATCACCACTTGCTAAAAGGAGAAGAGGCTGCTAGATTTGGGCCTCCACAATTGTGTTTATTTCCCATTTTAAGTGGGCCTCCACAAATCTTACACTTTTATAATACACTGAAATATATATTCATATTTTTCATCTTGGTTCTTAATTAACTAAACATTCAATGGTATGAAACCGTTAAGAAATTAACCACTAAAGTACAAAACCATTTTCTCGAATGCAATTTTTTCCCCTTTTTATGTGAGAAAATGTTTTTTGCTCGATTTTAAAAGTAAAAAAGCAATAGCCACCCCGGTTGTGATTTAATTAGTTCATTCCTCATGAAACACGACAACAATAGTATTGAGGCCATGGTGGTTCAATTGAATTCACGAGAAGCAAGGTTGCATTGGCTGAATGTTTGAGCCACAAATTCAGACCAGGTTTCCTAGAGCAAGGGCATAGGCGGTTTAGTGGCAATAGAATTTTGCTAGCATAGCAAAAATTCGAAATGTAAGGTTCAAATAATGTTACATAATTCTAACATAACTAGTATATACGATCCATATGAACAATGAATTATTATAACATCTCTATTATGAAAGCATACCAACAGTTGATAAAGAGTTACAACTTGTTGAAGCATTTTTATATCGTTCAAAAATAGTTTTACTAATAGTTGTTCTTGCCCCATTCCTGGTCTACTAACATCAACAAAATCCACATAGTACCTAAACAAGTCCACGCTTCAAAATGAACAACAATGAAAAGAAGCTCCATAGTACACTTCAGGATACAACGCTAATAAAAACGTTTTTTTGCAAAAGGAACCAAGGAAAGGAGGCTACTTGCTAATCAAATTCTCTCATGTTCCTTGAGGGACTTTTGTACACTATATATAGAACAAATTCTTTCCAAATTTTGGTTTCAAGGATTCGCAGTTTCCACCATCAAAATTTGTTTTGGACTCAATACACCCCAACAGTATCAATTACTCTATATTGTAACTCAAACTTTTCTTTTAGACACTTTGACCTGAACTCTACAATTACTAATTAAGTCCAATTAGTATATATTGTACCACTTGTTATGTGTGGTTTTGTCCCACATTAGTTGTTTTATTAAGGAGTTTTCCTCTTTGTTGGTTATAAATGGAGCGCGTCTTTGGTGAGAAGTTCACCAAATCAAGGGAGTTTTTAGTGGGTTATTTAGGCTTTTGGATCATTAAACCTTTTGTAGTAAAATATTTTGGGCTCTATTGAGTTTTAAAGTTTTTGTACTCTCTTTTTTATAGTGAAATTCTGCTTCTCCTCCACCCGTGGATGTAGTTCAATTTCACCGCGAATCACAACCCTTTCATCAATTTTTTGGGACTGGACCTAACACCTCTAGGGACCGGACCTAATACCTCCTACTCGTATGTTGGTAGTGTATTGCGCAAGTTGGGTATGTGTTGGAGCATAAATTTGCTCGTGTGTTGGTAGTGTATTGTGCAAGTCGAGTGTGTTTTAGAGATTAAGCTATGTGTTCAAGTTAGGACTGCCAATGAGGTTGGACCAACTCAAGTTCAGCTTGTTTAGTCCAAGAAAAAGTCCATGAGTCTAATCTTTTATTGACTTGAGCTAATATTGGGCTTAAATATCATGCCTGAATTAAATATGAGTTGAATTTGGACCTCATTAGGCTCCAACCCAATATAGGCTCGACCTTTTAACGAGAGGGTGAAATTCTGCTTCTCCTCCACCCGTGGATGTAGTTCAATTTGATCGAATCACAATCCTTTCATCAATTTTTTGGGACTGGACCTAACACCTCTCGGGACCGGACCTAATACCTCCTACTCGTATGTTGGTAGTGTATTGCGCAAGTTGGGTATGTGCTGGAGCATAAATTTGCTCGTATGTTGGTAGTGTATTGTGCAAGTCGAGTGATTTTTAGAGATTAAGCTATGTGTTGAAGTTAGGACTGTCAATGAGGTTGGACCAACTTAAGTTCGGCTTGTTTGGTCCGAGAAAAAGTCCACGAGTCTAATCTTTTATGGACTTGAGCTAATATTGGGCTTAAATATTAGGTCTGAATTAAATATGAGTAGAATTTGGACCTCATTAGGTTCCAACCCAATATAGGTCCGACCCTTTAATTTGCATATATATATATATATAATTATGTATAATATATTCATATTTTGATATATGTATATATAATTATATATCTAAATATAAAATGCTAATACTTTATACTTATGATATATTAATATATATAAGAAATATTAAATATAAAAAATTATGTCAAAAGATTCAGAAAAACAAAGTTTAGTATGAGCAAATTGAGAACCTTTGAAGATGTATTAATTGTTGATTATGTTTTATTACTATTTTCCATGTACTTTGAACCAATTGGATATATTATTGTTGAAAAATTCTTGGTTTATATACTTTGTAATTAATTGTTATTGGTTCGCATATAGTTTTAATGTTGTGATCTTGTGGATGTTAAATTAGCTTTAGAACATAATAGTTATAGTAATTATATTAAAAAACTTAAGAAGTAATAAGTGAATTTAAACTAAATCCGAATTAGATTCACAACTCAAATATTTTGTGACCCAAGTATGAGCTTTATATTTATCGACCCAAAACTGAAAGTAGTAGACCTGTTGTTTGGCTACAAAACTGTTCTTTGGTTCCACTAGTTGGGTATATCATAAGGTAACCCTTCCCAGGTACTTGCAATAGTCCTTATATTTCCTCCAAGGTCGGTGTTAGGTAACTTGGTATAACATATAGTACTTGCAATAGAATGAAACATGCCTAAGGCCTCTGGCCAACCTATGGCCAGGATGTATAGTGGATGGGTAACTGGTGACACATAACTATTCACAACTAGGCTCCTCTCAATTGTATCGGAGAGAATTTCTCTCCATCATACTCTCATAAATTTAATTTTAAATTTATTTTTAAAATCAACACCATTCATAATATATTTCATCATTTGTGTTAGTTATATATAAAATTTTGTGTTAGCAATTTATAAAATTTCATTAAAAATTTGACTAAGTTTTACCCTCTAATTAATCATTTCAATTTTGTTACAATTTTGACTCATGTTTTACAGTTTAAAAGTTTCCTATAAATTGAATATCAAAATATTCTTAAAAGAATATCATTTTTTAGTATGTTGATTTAGATATTAAAAGAAAAACAATGACATAATCAGATGATTTTATGGAGTTATAAAATTTTAGATATAGATAATGGTAGGATCAATAGAGAAAAATTCAATGGAAAGCCTTCAATTAGGAAGTGTTGATCAAAGGTTTTGTAAGGGAGTAGTACTTCTCATTTTTGGGTTTAATTTTGCTATGTATTTTGGAGACATGGTTTATGTTCCACTCCTTTTTTTTCCAGTATTTTAATAATAAATTTGGGGTGGCATCCCTTTAAAAATAAAAAAAAGAGAGAAATTCAATGGAAATGATCCTACTTTAATTTTTCTATAAGATGTTTCTATAAGATGATTATATAAGCGTAGTTATAGCATCAGGGTCAGTTAAAAAGGGCATGCCTCTTTTAATTGTAACAAGTTTCCCTTCCTCACCAGAATTTGTCAATTTTTAACTTTTTCAACCAAAACAAGTCAGAGCCTGAGCAGACATTGAACATATATGTTCTACCCCGGCTTGTTACGATAAGAGTTTTTTGGAATAGAAACTTGTAGAGATTTCAAAACACTTTTTCTTCTAATATTTTATTTATTTGAATTAATTTTTAATTTCAGATACATCACATCTCAAGAGTTCTACATTGAATTTTAAAATTTTTCAAATAATCTTCAATCCATTACTTTCTTATTTTTCTTATTTTATCATTTCATGTGCCTTAAGACACCTTCACGTGTACAATTCAAGAAATATAAATATTGACACTAATTGTAACACTTCAATTCAGGGATCTAAAATAATTAACTCGTGTAAGGTTATTGATTGAAGGATTAAATACTCACTTAAAATATTTACATGAGAGAGGAGAAAATAAATCTATTATTGAAATTTCAAATAATGAAATAAAACCACAACAGACACATTTAAAAAAAAATACTTCAATCAATGCTCTATTTATAACTTACAAAGACTTTTAAAATAAGAAACTACTCGTACAAAAAATTACTAAATAAAACACAAACTCCTAAATAACACAAATATTTAGAACTTGACTCCAATAATAAAACTAGTAAATAAATAAATATAAACTTCTGGAGCTGGTTTCTTTTGCCAACAAAGATGACGTACGTTCTTCAGCAAACAATTTTTCTTTCCAATTCTTATTCCTTTTATTGGTTATTTAATTTATTGTACGTTCAATCTTTGTTTTGCTCCTAAAGCAAAATATGACTTATAGATCCAATCCGGATCCATGGAATTTCTGTGCAGTGATCTGATCTAGCCGTTCTGCCATCTCACTTGTAAGATAATTTTTCCAATCTCCAACCTTACCATTACGAAAAAATACCTGATTCCTAAGAATCCGCCAGGTCCCGCTCTTGTTCACCTCCAAATTTCTCAAGTGATCAAAACTACAGAGCCCTAAAATCTCATCAACCACTCCTGCTGTCTCTTCCTCTTGAGAAATTGGACAACCCAAGAACTCGGCAAGATGTTTCAAGTAAAATGCAGGTTCTTGTGTCATCTGTTCATACTTCAGAAAAAGTACTTTTCAGGACCTATCCAAGCTTGCTTTCCAGTAATCTAAAACATGATCCCAAACAGGTCCAGACATGCTCACTCCCTTACAAAACAAGTAAAAAATTCTTCAAAAGAAGTCTCAGTACTCCCCAGCTTATTAGTGAAGTGCCAATACGAGACCAAAACATCCTTAATGTTTAGATAGACAATCCTGCAACCCGAATTCATCACTGACTCAGGCAGTAGCGCAAGGGGCAGTGGTTTCCAAGCAGTCTTCTTGAATCTTGGAAATATTGTCGGAAAGAATATTCAGGGTCCTGTTTATCATGAGAGAGAGCATAAAATTCCAGTTGTGGCACAAGAACATAAGGATTTTGGTTGAGCAAAGGGTGGCTTGGGTTGATGGGATGAATATTTCGGTTCATCAAGGTGAATGCGAGGGCCTTCAGCCATGCGGTGGCCGACTTGGGAGTGGTGATTAGCAGGACATCACTGTCTCGAGCCTGGAAGTGCTTTTGGACTTCAACGAGCCCTGGCAACTGGTTAGTAGTAAACCAAAAGCCATTGTACTTGTACAGATAAGAAGAACCTTGCCATCTCTCTCTGGGGAGAGTAGAATACAGGTTCTTGCACTGCTCTTGCATTAGTTCCTGTACTTCTGAATCTTCTGAGAAAGGAACTTTGAAGGAGGATGGAGTTGTAGACATATTGGTGCCTTTAGGATTGTTATTGAATATACTTTTGTTGCTCAGCTCTCAAGTCCCCCACTCGTTCTTTTATAGACATGGTGTGGGGGCACTTGGGATCCTCGGTGACAAGTTTCCAGTGCCAATTCAATGTCACCTATAGGATTTCGCCAAGTGCCCTATTATTATTTGTACTTTAATTTTCTAATAATTCAAATTAATTTGATTTAACAAAATTTTTCTCTACCTCTACAACTTTGAATCAAAATTAACTGACGGGTCTAATTTCACTTGGATTTCTTACATATATATCCTTAATATTTTATTATTTATTAAGAAAAAATATTATTTTATTTATTTTTTAAAAAATAAAATAATTATTTTTTATTTTTTCGAATTCGAGATCGAGTTCGAGTTGGAAATTGTCAGCTCGTCGAGCTCGAGTTCAAGTTCAATGAAATTATGCCGAGACTCGATTTGATTAGGTCAAAACTCGACACGATCCGACTCGTTTGCAGCCCTTGAGAGTGGAACAATAAACTTTAAATATGGGGACAAACTGATAAAATTATGGATATACATTATAAATTTCAGTGAGGTCAATAGCTCCCACTGCCTCCCACTATCTTCGGATCTAAAGCTAGGCTATATAAATGTCTACACAAGAACCGAGCAACAATCAAGTATACTCAACGCAAATCCTAAAGCCACCAATATGTCGACATCTCCATCCTCCTCCTCAGCTCCTTTATCAGAAGATTCAGATCTACAGGAACTAATGGAACAGCAGCGCAAGAACCTGCTTTCTACTCTCCCCAGACAGAGATGGCAAGGTTCTTACCTGTACAAGTACAATGGCTTTTGGTTCAGTACTATGCAGATGCCAGGGCTCGTTGAATTCCGAAAGCACTTCCAGGCTCGAGACAGTGATGTCCTAATAATCACCACTCCCAAGTCGGGCACCACATGGCTGAAGGCCCTCGCATTTGCCTTGATGAACCGAAATATTTATCCCATCAACCAGAACCACCCTTTGCTCAACCAAAATCCTCATACTCTTGTGCTAAACTTGGAATATCTTAGCCCTCATGATAAACAGCACCCTGATTATTCTTTCCAAGGATCAAGAAGACTGCTTGGAACCCACTGCCCGCTTGCGCTACTGCCCGAGTCAGTGATGAACTCGGGTTGCAAGATTGTCTATCTATGCAGAAACATTAAGGATATTTTTGTCTCGTATTGGCACTTCACTAATAAGTTGGGGAGTACTGAAACCTCTTTCGAGGAATTTTTTGACCTGTTTTGTAAGGGAGTGAGCTTATCTGGACCTGTTTGGGATCATGTTTTAGGTTACTGGAAAGCAAGCTTGGACAAGCCCCAAAAGGTACTTTGTCTGAAGTATGAAGAAATGACACAAGAACCAGCTTTTAACCTGAAACATCTTGCCGAGTTCTTGGGTTGTCCAATTTCTCAAGAGGAAGAGACAGCAGGAGCGGTTGATGAGATTTTAGGGCTTTGTAGCTTTGATCAGATGAGAAATTTAGAGGTGAACAAGAGCGGGACCTTGGGGAATCTTAGGAATCATGCATTTTTTCGAAATGGTAAGGTTGGAGATTGGAAAAATGATCTTCCAAGCGAGATGGCAGGACGGCTTGATCAGATCACTGCACAAAAATTCCATGGATCCGGATTGGATCTATAAGTCATATTTGCTTGAGTCTAGAAGTTTTTATTTATTTATTTACTAATTTTATTAGCGTCAATTTTTTAGTGGTTGTATTATTTCGAAGTTCATGTTTTATTTAGTAATTTCGTATGCAAGTGACCTCTTATTTTATAAGTCTTTGTAAGTTTTTAAATTGAGTATTAGCTGAAGTATTTTATTAGAAGTGTAAATTACTAGCTCTTTTGTCAATTTCAAATGTTATGAGTGATGAGTGTGTTTGAATTGCACATTATTTACATACACTAATTTACTTGTATTATTAACACATTTTTCAACACTTTTTTATCTCCTATCAAACACACTCGTGATGCAGGAAGAAAAAGAAAGGGCATTCTAGTATGCATAGGATTATTTTTTGTCCTAAACGTTCTTTGTTGAGATTGATTAGATTTTCACTTCTTCTTCAAAGAAGAAGCAAAGCAAAAAATTAGATAATCTAAAGCCCACTCCCAAGAAGACAGCTAGAGATTCGGATCATGATAAAATGATGACAAAGAAGAATAATACTAGTAAAAGGAATACAAACAAGAATGGTCATGGACAGGAAAATGGAAGGAGTGACGCACCACCATCAGCAGGAGGAGCTGGACGGAGGCCGGGAAAGAGGACTGGAGATGGTCTAGTTACATATGGTGAAAAGGATTTGGGGATAGGGAAGGCGGCTACTGAAGGTTACTCCTTTGTGCCCCTTCGATTGTGACTGTTGCTTTTGAAAGCAAGGCATCATCCACGAGAGTTTACCTTTTCTTTCTTTCTTTATTTGATTTTTTCTATATTTTGATTTACTAATTGTTGTGGTTTTAGATATTTTGATGATGAAAAATTGTGGGCTAACTAAGCTAGGACCTCTTTCCATATGTTGTAATACTAGTAAGGTTTGGCTGTGCAACACAGCCAATGCCTATCTTGAAGTGTTTTAAGGGTAGCAAAATTGGAAGGAATGTTTTTGAATTGAGTGTCATGTGTAAAAATATACGTAAAATATGTACATCCCTAAAATGGAACGAAATTGGATTATTAGCATTTAAACTTGTACAGATGAACTTACTTTGCCACTTAATATATTATATGATTTTCTTGTCAATTTTATTTTAATTCATTAATACATTATATTTAGCAGCATTTTAGAATATTCAGTCTGAAATTACTACCAAACATAATATGCACTTTTCCTATCAATTTTATTTTAATTCATTTATGAAGGCAGTGAGACAAGAACAACAGTGCATGATCTATACACTGAACTTTTGAAATTTTGGTCTTGGACTTGCATGTTACAGTTTGCTAATATTGATTGACATAAAAATCTATTATTACATCCTTTATCAGTTGAGTGAGGAATTATACTAACTTGTCTAATTGATTTTTTTTTCTTTGTTTTGATTGTCAAAATTTAGTTGATAATGAAATAGACATTCAATTAGCTTAGCTATCCATTAAAGAAATAAGCAAGCATCTTTAACATAAACAATCTAAAAATGTCACAAAAACAGAAAAACAAATCTAAATAGACTAAATAGTTTCAAAGTTCGTTGCTAAAGTTTACAATCATAAGTCACACAGTATATATAATTCAATACTCAGTAGCTACTAGTAGTTTACTTGTGAAACTTGTAAATATCAAGTAATCTTAATCAACATTTTATCAAACATTAGGCAGGCTAGTTATGAGTAATGTGACTAACTTGAAGTAAAGTGATGGACAAAGCAAAAGTCTTGAATGTTGAAGGCAATGCTGCAAAATCAAAACACAAAACATGTAAAAGAAACTATATCTTACTACAATAAGATATAAATGCATAGATATGGTGAAAAAAAAGCTAAGAAAAATTGTATTACCAAATGATGAGAAAGCAAGAAACTGAAGGACGTTTTCTTTTTGCTATGCGAGAACGAAAAGCAAATAAAACAGAATAACAGTTGGTAATGTATGTAGTAGTGTGCACTGTACTATTCAAGATTTGTTTGTTGATAATAATTTTATCTAAAAAGATAATCTATGAAAGCTGAACTAGTGTAGTGCTTTGTATTTCAATCTAATGGTTATGAAAAGATGAAGCACAACTAATAATTTATCAAAAGGTTGGCATTTTTGTGAAGGACAACCTAACTCTAAGGAACAAAGTAATTGTCTCATGATTAGGTAATTGTCAAAAAGTGGAGTAGGTGAAGAATGCTTGCATTATTTGACTTATTACAAGCAAACGAGAGAGTAAAATAATCTGTAAGCTGCCTTGTTGAATAATCTAATAATGCAATGGCTTAGAAAAATGTTTTTCGCTCCAAATTAGATAGAACTTATAATAAATAAGATTTATTGAATAATCTAATAATCTGATGGCAAAAAAATAGTGAAAAAAATATATGCAAATCTAACGGCTACCATTAAAACAAAAAAAAAAAAGAGAGAAGAGCATTTTAATGAAATATAATAAATATATATATATTTGTTATTTAGACATTAATGCATTCCTTTGTTTAACATAGGAAAAAAATTTATGGTAATAAAAAGCAAATATTAACGTATAAATCAATTAAAATAAAATTGATTAAAAAATAATATAATATCTTAAGTGGCAATGTCAGTTAAATGCTAATAGAAATACGAATAAACCTAAAGTCAAAAGTTATCAAATATTTTAATATGAACGAATTAAAATAAAATTGAAACAAAAAAATGCACATTGCATTAAGTAGCAGTAATAATCTGTTTCTTTATAATAAGATGGAATCAGTTTTAAATAATATTTTCCATTACATTTACAAAATAGCACAAAAAAATCAAAAAAATATAACATTTTGAAAAGATCAATGTAATTGTATAATTTTTAACAAGTGAAACTTATTTTGTCAAATATAATTATAAGAATACATTGAAATAAATATAAATTCAAATAATAATAATAATGTTGTAGTTCGATCACTTTTGACCAATACACAAGTTAATTTGTCAAATATAACTTCAAATGATGATGTAAATAGTAATAAATATAAATTCTAATTGAATTATATCTGTCCAAAGTCTAAAGATTGAAAAGTCTATTAAAAATAATTCAACCTTATAGAGGAATGCCAGATTTAGTCCAACTTAGGTCATTGAGCAATTAAAGTTGCTACAGTAACTTTAGACATTCAACACATCCAAAGAGAAAGAAACGATAAAAGCTCAAAATTCACCTATAGTGCCACGTGTTATTAAAGAAAGTTGTTAAAGTAACTTTGGATCTTTAGTCATCTTATGGTAAGATGTTTGATAGAAGAGGTATAGACTTGTGCTTGCAATTTTGATGATCACTCGCTCAAGAAAAACAAGAAATGATGGATTTTCTTGACATATTGAATACCGTTACTAGATCTTTTTTTCCTCTTAAATTTTGTGCTTTCAGCGATGGGATAATACGTGGCTTTTACTTGATAAATACTCCTGCATGGATTAGAATGCCCTTACTATTTGTTCGTGCATTGCACATGATGATGTTCACTGTTAGCCATAACAGCTGAAATAATAGACGGCCAACAATTTGTAATTTTGATACATCAAGAGCCAAAAGTTTTCTCTTAATTGTTGGAGGGCTAAAAGTTTACGTAGCTAAAAGTTCGAGAGTTACTTGGAACTTTTTGCCCTTTCTATCAAAATGTTTTATTAGAAATAAAACAAAGTAAAACAAAAAAATAATTTGAATGTGTTAATTTATTTTTCAATATTAGGTTAATTTTCCTTCTGTAGGCTTTATGATTACAATTGAAAAAGAAGAATGATATTAAAGTTAAGTTAATATGCTCGAACGAAATTTCGATCCACCAATATAAGTATGCAGTCTGCTTCAAAATGCATCTTGGCTTTTATTAGGAATAGCAGGCAATCATCCCACTAGTTAAGTTGAGAAAACCATAAAATGGACTGAAAAGTTGGTGTATAGTTGTTATGTATTCATGCAATTATCTCATAGCCATTTTAGAAAAATTCCTCATTTTCATTATATTATACACTTAAAAAATGTCAAATTGCTTGAACAACCAATGGAACTCAAATTATTTTTAGCAAAAAATGAGTTAAAACAGCGTGATTAAAAAATTAAAACTTATTTATTTGAAAACATCACGCAGTCAAACATTAACAATTTGCTTTTATATGCTTATGAGAAGCTCTGGGTGCTACTTGTACCTTATATGTATAAAAATAAAATAAATAAACATGTTTCTTCTCACCAAAAATCTACATTAACCTCTCGGAAAACATCTCAAAAGCACATTAAAGATCCAAAAATTCCCCAATCATGCTCTCGCCTTTCACCATTGATAAGGGTTTATTTTACGTATTTTTAAGTACATTTTATTAGTTAATTTTGGTTTTATTATATAGTTTTATAACTAAAATAACTAAGGTTTTGGTAAAAATCTACATTTTATGTTAAAGTGGCTAACATTACATTTCTATTGATTTTTATGGTAAAAACTTCATATTTTGTAGGTTTAATGATTCAATCATCAAATGAAGTGCATTGAGAAGATATTTGGATGATTGAAGATGGATTAAAGTGGTGAAAATAAAATATGAAGTGTAAAAGGAGAAATGCAATTTGAGAACAAAAGAATCAAGAAAAAGTCAGCTTTGACAACTCAGACACATTTTTGTATTTTGACTATATCTGGAGCTACACAGATCGGATCAAGGTGATCTTGGTACCATTTTGAAGCTAAGATATATATCTACATTTGGTATGTAGACATCAAAGTCCAATTCAGCTGTTTTCTTGGTCAAAAAGTCGAAACACAGAAACTTATCTGGATGGTCAAAAGCTGAAGCCCAGAATTGACCAGTCTATGGTATTTCGAGCATATCTCTGTCCACTGATCTCCAAATTAGATGATTCTTGAAGCATTGGAACGATATTTCAAAGGGATACAACTTTTTTGTTTTACATAATAGTTAGTTCAGTGGCTATCATAGACAAAATTGTAGTTGAAGTGAGGTC